ATGCTATTGGGCCCTGAACGGTGCTGATTTTACACTGTTTTCAATGGGGCTTGAATTAGTGGACTGGACCCTTGGAGATCAACGGCGCGTTTGGCGCGGAGCACGCCGAGTACGCGTAACGACTTACAACTATCTGTCTTTTTTTTTTTTTTTTTTTTTGCTGCTTGGGGGTGCACTTCAACTCGGGGCGGATACGCACCATCCGTTTCATAACCACGAAACCCTTTTGTAACCTGTCATCGACGCCGCAATTTTTTGCAGGTAATCTGCATACTGAGGTATAGAGAACCTAGCTTCCAGTAGTAGGCAACAGTTTGTTGGCCAGCCTTAGCCAAATTCGTTCCAAGTCTTTGAACACTGATGTATTGGACGGAGGAGGATAAAAATTACAAACTTTGCACGGATAATGAAACGGGGTCGCAAGATTAAAAGTTTTATACATGATAGCAAAAGAAGGTCTTGTATCAAAGATTGTTCTCTCTCTATTTCCTGACCTCAGCAATAATTTGTATTTAATTGCAAGCAAAACACTTCAGGTATGCTAGGACATTACTGGGTATTTTTTTGGAATGTTTTCTATTGTTCGTCAGACTCAGGGGCGACGATCATTGAACACTTTGAAGTGCATGTACTAGAGTTGCAACTCCTTCTGTGTCCTTCCACTATAAGTGAACGAAGAGTGACCAAAATTTGGTGTCTTTTCATTGCGCTTTTGTAACATAATTATGTGGTGATATACTGGCATGGGACTATGTATCAGCCATGAATTCGCCTTAATGAACAACCTCGGGCAAAAGGTTGTCAAGGGCTTATTATTTTAATTGACCGGCTTTGTTTTGGCTCCCAGCTTAATACACACTAACTGCCGTTACTGGATCTGGCTCATTTTGGGTTTCGTTTCAGCAGCCATGATGCGCTTCGCAGTAGTGTTTCTGGTTAGTGTCCTGGCCCTAACATCGGCCAGCATCGACTTTCAGGAGTACTCCGCAGAAATTATCCAACGCATCAACTCTATGGATACGACATGGAAGGTATGGCAGATGACTGTTCGATGCCGAATTTTCTCCATTTATAAAAAAAACAAATAAAACTTGTCTCAAATCTGTTTACAAGCCACAGTGTGTATGAACAGTGTTCAGCTATTCTACCTACAGAGAACTTTCCGCTGGAAAAACTGAAAACAAAAACATACTGGAAAGCGAGTTTAGGCCTGAACATTTCAAATGCAGCAATATTTTTCTTGTTATTCTTTGGCTCCAGGCTGGTCCCAATTTTTTAGGCGAAACCCTGGAGTCAGTTATCGCTCGTCTAGGAGTGAAGTACCCGCTTCCGGTGGAGAAGAGGCTGCCTCTGTACTTCCACGAGGACGTCAGTGACATCCCCGTGACGTTCGACGCGCGCCAGAAGTGGCCAAAATGCACAACTATTTCGCTGATCAGGGACCAGGCAGCCTGCGGCTCCTGCTGGGTATGTTTTTTTGGAGTCACTCTCTCAATTTAATATAATGAGTCTCAAGTTGCTATAGGGCCGCATTTAAGTTTAAGGCCTTTGAAAGAATCCCTCAGGATGTAAATGAAATGGAACCAACATTTTTCGACCACACAATGTCTATGTCTATCAGGTTGCCAAACTTTATTAAGTAATACATCAAAACAAAAACCTAATCTACACTTTCTCACGCACACTGAATTATGAAGCAAACTTTAATATTTTGTACGTTCCAGTCATACGCTTTTCCTCTACAACATTATGTTGTCATTATTTGCTATTTTACTTACACAATTCACTAGAGTTTGCGTACGCGGCTCCATTTTTGCACTGCATGTGCAAAAACTGCTTGTCTTTTCTAAGCATCGATCTTCAGCAGCGGCCACTGCTGCACCCAGGATTTGTTGCGGGGGCACGAACTGGAATTTAACCCCAAAATAGCTCACGATGCTCAAGCCCCCTCCCTCAGTTGTGCCACAGGGGACTAAGATTTACGATTACAACAGAGCTAATCGTTCAAAGAGCACCTCTAAAGAAAACGGGTTTTACCCCTTCAAATAAACAATGAAGCATCCGAATCGACCGTAGTGTAATTTGTCTAAGATGTAGGCGCATGTACCTGGGATTTAAGCCCCGAGCCCCTCCTACCTTGGGTGCACTATTTGCAATGGTAAAGAAAGCCGCAATGATGCAGACGGTATTAATAACGATGGTATTAATTGCTAAAGCAAATCTAAAAGTGGCAATTTATTTCAAGCAACTGACACTAACAGATCGTCTTAATTAATCTCGTGTGCTCACCTTTTCTGTCCACTTGTTCCATGTATTTCAATCATGTTTTTCTATTACATGTATTAGGCTTTTGGTGCAGTGGAGGCCATGTCGGACCGTGAGTGCATTCACAACAACATCCAGGTGAACATTTCTGCCGAGGAGCTGAATTCCTGCTGCAAGACCTGTAGCCTAGGGTAATTACGCCTGTTTCAGACAGGTGATCTTGTCGAGTCGCGCTGAACCAAATTAAAAGCAAATTTTGGATTAAGTACTGCAAAAGTTCGACGTCTGAAACAATTAGGAGCAACAAGGCGTGCTAGCAGGCGAAAGGTCGACACCTGGAGGCGCTCGGAACGACACTAGAACGACTTGGTTCCCGGCGTCGCTCTTTTCGTGGGCAAAACCAAATGCAAGTGTATGTATTAAGTTCGTCTGTCTGAAAGCAAAGGTTGGGTCGACCCCAGTTGCTCCTAATTGTGTCAGGTTCGGTGCGACTGTAGAACGCCCGTCTGAAACTGGTGTACGAGGTCTTTATTTAACCATGTAGGCCGCGAAGATGGTGTGGAAAATGCGAGAGAAAAAGAATTGACGGTGTTAGGCATGACGTTTTTATGCATTTCAATCATAAAATGAAGGTAGTTACGCTACTCCCAGCGTTCCTGTCTTATGCTTCATTTTTGACATTGAAACCGCTTGTGTTTCTGTCATATTCGAAATTAATACAACTCTTTCTGTGTTCCAGTCAACAAAATACACTTTCATTGCTTGTCCAGCAAAACACGACTTCTCATTGAGCTAAACACTTCAGGGTGGAAACCAGGCGAAGCAGGAGACCGAGACGAGGCCGGCTTTGTCTCCATCATATCTCCCTAAAAAATCTATGGAAACTTAAGTCGACCAATATGAATCGAAAAGGGCGCAATCCCTACAATTTTGGGTGCAAATTGAGAAGGGAATCAAAATGTGCGAGCGAGGCATGATGTGCGAGAGTGGCAAGCCTCAGTACTCATTCTTTTTTCTATGCTGTGCTTGTTTCAAGATGCGGTGGGGGGTTCCCTAACGCAGCTTGGGAGTTCTGGAAGACCCATGGTCTTGTCAGCGGAGGCCTGTACAACAGCAAGAGCGGCTGCCAGCCCTACTCCATTCCGGGCTGTGATCACTACGAGCCCGGTCACCTGAAGCCCTGCGGACCGGTGGTCCCAACTCCACCATGCCACCACACCTGCCGGACGGGCTACAACGTCACCTTCGACAAGGACCGGCACTTTGGTGGGTAAACCAAAGCGGCCTTGAACACAGTGGCGTAACTATTGGGGGAAGGGAGACGCATGTGCCTCCGGTCCATTATGTACACAAACCTATGTGTCACAGTTAATTTGCTTTCGTTAAATAGCCCCAGAAATTTCTCCCCAGTTTAACAACGTTCAACAGAACATGATACTTTCAAGTTTCCTTTCATTTCTTTTCGATGGATTCTCATCAAACAGATGTTTATTTTGGTAAGAGCTATTGCCTAGATCCTTGATTGGGGAAATTGTCTTTCCATTATGGTAAGCCTTTTGGTGCAAAGTGTACGGTATATTGGGCATCTCTTCACACTCGTGCTTTATACAAAGTTGTTTTATGATTCTCTTTCGTAGGAGGGAGAGTTTACAGAATTCCCTCGAAAGTCAAGCAGATACAGAAAGAATTAATGATGAACGGACCTGTGGAGGCAGACTTCACCGTTTACGCCGACTTCCCCACCTACAGATCCGGTAAGAACTAGTGGCGTATCCAGGAGGGGCTGGAAATATTAATTGGATCGGGAATGCCTCTCTCAAGGAACCTTTTGCAACGGTAAAATGAACCTTTTGTAACGGTAAAATGACAGCTGTATAATGTATATATTTATGCTTAATAAACGACAGGCGTTTACCAACACAAAACGGGAACCGCGCTCGGAGGACACGCCGTCAAGATACTTGGATGGGGCGTTGAGGGCGGTGTGGACTACTGGCTGGTTGCGAACTCGTGGAACCCAGACTGGGGAGACAAAGGTGATTAAAAAGTAACTGTTTTTGGCTATGACTTCACCGGTTTTGCCTTTCTCGAGCAATGTCATTTCATAGTCTTAAGACAGGGCAGACTTTGTGGAATCGGGTTGAAACCCATGAACCAACCCTGCCAAATTAATACTGCAGACTGTAGTCAGGGGAAATCAATTTATACATGTACATAAAACTTTCCTGTCAGCGCCCAAAAGAGGGCGCTGTCATTACAGTTGTCTTGTTTGGTGCGTCTCCGCCGACAGATCAAAAGCAAAAATGCCGCTCAAGTTCGAGGAAATAGTGACTGAAAAGCTGGATGATATTGTCCAAAAATTAAATAGTTTAAGTGTAAGCCAGTCCAAGATTATCGTTCGGGTAACCGACTTAGAAAAACCGCGTGCAGAGGCCGAGGAAAAGCCCGCAAACGTGGAAGACAGTGCACAACCTCTGACCAACGCGGTCCAAGATGGTGGCACCCATGCAGATGTAAACGCGCCCCTCAGCCCTGGTTGTGATGTGGTACTACTAGTACTACTAGTAGTACTGGTAGGACCACATCTGAGGACATACAGGCAGATTTTCACTCCATTAAGGACTCTCTGCAGCAGATTAAGTTGCCAAGCGACTTCAAACTGAAAGATACAAAGACTGGTGTCAAGCGACTAGACCAGTCTTGGTGCAATTCACTTGTCAAATCAGCCCGCTGCGTGGAGATGACGCTGAAACTACTGACCGTCCTTTCCAAAGAAAATACTGATCCAACCGAGGAGGATTGGGCCGCACTCTTTGCCGTCCAAATTGCACACATGCGGTTCCTTCAGGAGGATTATCAGACAATCCTTGTTTAAGGTCAGTTTATAAAAGTACCGCTAAGATCTTCCCACACTGCAGAAAAACACCAATGCGTTTTCCAGTGCAGCACAACTCCGCCAGGGCACAGGCAAACGCAGGCAACCTTGGTAACAACTCTAGGACCCCAGGTCCGTATGGTTGGCGTACTTCAAACTCTCGTGGTGACAGGACGTGGTGACAGGTACCGCTCCTTCTCAAGTGGTGATCGCTATCGCTCCTTCTCTGGCAGGAATTTTGGAGGCAGGGGACAGTACAGAAACGCGGACTATCATGATCACACGTCAGACGCTGCCGACAGCCCAACCATGTACACTGGTACTCTTCATTGAGTTGTGAGTTAGGATTGTCCATTTGGTGCCTTTGGTCATACTGTTCACAAGTTTTCTTGCTGTGCCCATGCGACACTACATTTTTCATGTGTTACTCCACAACCTTGTCAAGTCACATGTCACGTTGGAGGGATATTGGTACTTCAGACAGTGTAATTTCTGGTTGTCAGATGGCGTGCCATTGCTGTTGCCTGGGTCACCTCCATACCTAAATTTACCCAATCACAGTATCACACCGAAGCAACAGATATTCGTTTCCAACGAGATACGTGAACTTTTACATGTTGGTGTTATTGAGGAGGTCAGTTATGAGCTGCACTGTGTCTCCCCATTTGTTGTGTACCAAAGAAATCTGGATCCTACAGAATAATTCATGACCTCAGGATATTGAATGGGTTTTGTAATTCTCCTAAGTTTGTTAATGAAAGTATTGAGACAGTTGTTGATTTAGTGCAGTCTAATGACTATGCAATCATGGTTGACATTAAAAATGGGTTTTACCATGTACCAATCTTACCCGATCACCAAACGTACCTAGGTTTCTCATGGAAGAACAAGTATTATGTGTGGAAGTGTCTTCCCTTTGGGCTTAGTGGTTCACCATATTTTTTTCTGTAAAGTATTTAGACCTGTTGTAGCACATTTGAGATAACTTGGGTAAAGACTTGCCCTTTATGTAGATGATTTCATCCTTTTTGGAAATGATACAGAAATTGATAACTTCAAGGGCATACTGCTGGACACTTTAAGCTCCTTGGGATGGCACATAAACGAGACAAAATCTGTGTTAGTTCCGTCACAAAGTGTTCAATACATAGGCTATGTGATTTCAACTCAAACCAAAACCTACTATCAAAATTCCATATTCTCGAATTAGAAAATAAAAGAAAGATCTTCAGCGGGTATTGAGTGCACGAACAGTAAAAGCCAGGGTACTTGCAAGAATTCTAGGCCAGTGTGTATCTATGACCAAGGCCATCCTTCCTGCAAAATTGCTCCTCAGAAACGCATACAGACTTCTTGCAACCAAGGAGTCTTAGGAGGATACACTGATCATGAACAACTCGACTTACTCCGATCTCGAGTGGTGGCGAGATGCAGTAGGCATATGGAATGGTCGGATCGTTGCCCCACGACAAGTAACTGCACAGGTGTATACGGACGCCAGTGGAACAGGTTAGGGGGCCTGGTTCCAAACCTACGAGGCAGCAGGCTTTTGGACAATGCTCATGAAGTTTGCATCGATAAATTATCGCGAACTAATGGCAGTTATTTCTGCGCTAAAATCCTTCAAACATCTTCTGAATGGCAAAAATGTACAAACTACAGTGGCCTACATCAATCATCTCGGAGGGCCATTCCCCGATCTAACACAGCTTATGACATCAATTTGGTTGGAGGCTCACGAGATGGGGATAAATTTGAGTGCTCGCCACTTTGCAGGACCACTAAACACACAAGCCGACAGGTTGTCAAGACTGTCCAGCATGTACGAATGGCAACTTCATCCCCAAGTGTTCCAATTCCTAAACAGGATGTGGGGTCCCCACCACGTGGACAGATTCGCTACAATGACGAATGCGCAACTACCAGTTTACAATTCCTTGTCCTCGGGAGTGGATGCTTTGGCTCAGGACTGGACAGGTACAAACAGTTTTTGCAACCCGCCATGGCGGTTAATACCACGCGTCCTCGACAAGTTGGAACACTGCAAAGCGACTGCTACTCTGATTGCACCCTTCTGGCCACAGCAACACTGGTTCCACAAGTTACAGACACTCAGCGTATGCGCACCGATTCCGCTGCCCAGGAAAAGCAGGACCTTCATTCATCCTACTGCTACCCCCGAGCCAAGGCGAAACCCAAAATGGAAGGTTATTCCTGGCGGATCTCTAGACAAATAAACTGAATTCCGATGGATGGTGCGACGTAGCCGCTACCAGCTTCCCATTCCATTGGGCCCCGTCAACCTTACAACTGTATGATAGGCTGCTCGCTAAACTAAGGAGATTTTTGTCTCGAAAGCGGCATATCTTACCCCCCAGTCAAGCATGTTCGGATTGCTAACTTTCTGGGCTCACTGGCACAAAACAGTGAGCGGCCCGACTCCGTGCTCAAGTCAGCTATAGCTGCACCCGTGGACATCCACACATTGAAAGACTCATTGGTCAAGTCCTACACAACCAAACCCATGGAACGGTCCCAAGTCATGCCAGTGAGACCATTCTATGATTTGTTCGAATCATGGGGTGACAATGACATTCTGCCCATCAAAAAACTTTTGTTTGAAAACCATCACGATTTTGGCTCTCACGCTAATGTTACATCCTTCAGACACAGCACCCAAGAGTCTACAGGTAGACAGTAAGACTTTGAACTCGCAACAAATTGTCTTCTCTGTAGACCAGATCCAGTATCTGCAGGATGGCAGTTTAAAGCTGAAATTCTTTGGCATTAAGAATGACACTTCCAGAATGGGCTCTGAGGTCCACCTCCCCCCTGCTCTCAACAGGAAAGTTGACCCGTGTGAGGCACTCAAGGTGTATATTGCTCGGACACAATGCCGTCGGCCTTTGTAAGGCTGTCCCGTGTTTTTAACCTTGACACGCCCTTACAGGCAAATGTATGCGTCCACTGTGGCCAGTATAATGAATCAGTGAGGCAATTGGACTTGCAGGTCTGCACAAGCACGGGTACACTGTTAAGTGTTTTCGGCCAACTGGTGCAACCATTGCCATACAAACCAAGAAAAACCCAGCTGAGGTGATGAAAACGGGCCGGTGGAAAATCCAGTCCGTGTTCTTTGACCACTATGTGCAAAAACGTCAGCATCATACATCGAGGACATTCTGAACTCGTAAACTATAGCATGGACAGTGGGGTTTTCTCTCTATGTAAGCAATGTTAAATCACTTTCCGAGTTACTTCATTGATTTCTCAGTGACGTAAGTTTTTCACAAAACTGTAGTCAGGGAAATCAATTTATACATGTACATAAAACTTTCCTGTCAGCGCCCAAAAGAGGGCGCTGTCATTACAGTTGTCCTGTTTGGTGCGTGCGCTACAAAAAACCTTGTAAATGTGCTCCTATGACTGTACTCTTGAATGGATATGGCGGACGACGTGCCTTACGAGAAGGCCAATGTTAAATCAATTTTCGTTTTACTTCATTGATTTCTTAGTAACGTAAGTTTTTCACAAAACGTCTAGCTAGTTTTATGAAGTTTTGTCACAGTGAAAAACGGTGTCATAGCTGCATTGTGCACACCTAGTAAACGCCAGTCGCGTACTTTAGAGGAGAGACCCAATTGATGGAAGTAGAATCTTCATGTGAAACCGGATAACCAGTAATCAGGTCCCACGTGCTTGCTTTCGTCCAGGGACAGTTCCTTTGTGTATTAAATCGTAACGTCATCTCCTGTAAAACAAAATACCAGTCGTTGTGAAATATGAACCTGCATTTCAGGATTACATTACATTTACATTACATTACATTTACATTACTAATTCTTCAAAATGTGATATCTCGATTTGCTGTTAGGTTACTTCAAGATCAAGCGCGGGGATGACGAGTGTGGCATCGAAGACGACATCAATGCTGGAATCCCAAAGAAAATATGATTCTAATTTGGAATAAAGAACAAACACCTCTGCTTAGAAAAAGAAATTTTATTCTGAATTCTGTCGGCTTAAACCACAGTATGAATTTTTTAAAATTTGGTACCTCTTATTAAAAAATAGAGATTTCATTCTGGATGTTGTCAGCTTAAACCAAAGCATGGATTTTAAAATTTTGCGACGATATGATTTCTGATGGTAAGTATTGATCACTGATCACCACTGGATGTGCCCATTTTTTCATCACGGGGAACTAGTCGAGAGACGTGATTTCGATGATGTCAATTAAGCTCCCAAAATAGGAACCTCCATTATTGTCACGGTCATTGGAATCGTAGCTTTATTCTATTATTACTGACTTATTATTATTACCTTGTATTTCCTGCTATGCAAAGGCGTGAAATCTTGGCCCTGGAAGGGGTGCTTTGTACCGTTTGTGAAAGAGATGTGCGGTTACAAGCGACCTTGGATTGGGCAGTTGGGATAGTCAAACACTTCTGAGGACTTACCTTTCCGCTGGTTTGGGCATGACTAGCAAAATGTCAAGTAAAATGGTATACAGAGTAAAAGGAAATTGCAATGATCAATGCGTTTAGCCTCATCCCACCTAAATCAAATGCAAAAATTTTGCTTGTCATTATTGATCCCACCAATGCATATCCATCATAATCAGGTTCAGCGCTGTTGGCTAGTACACGCAACTTCAGCGTAGAGCATAGAGAGTCTTTCAAACATTAATAAGCACGCTACCTACTTTTTACCTTGGCACTGATGGAGTCCCTATTCTGAAATAGTCTAATCACCGGTAATTGACGGGGCCGCATCGACACATAAGCTTGAGACCATGTCAGTATAGCACAGGGTGATTTAGGAAAATGTTTGAATGACCCTATGCACATCTGTAGTACATCTTTTGCACAGTGCTGTCTAGAAAATATTATTGCCTCTAGTAAATTGTCACTTAATTACTATAAAAGCTGGCCTTGGCGATAAAAAAGAAAAATAAACAAAACAACAAAATATGAAGCCTTTCTTTTGGATTCGTTCTCCTTGCTTTTACTTTCAAAAGGACAAAGCTTTGTGAGGGGGTTTGGGGAATTCGAAGAGTCCAGTAAAGTAGTATCGTCAAAGTTGAAAGTGCGTCGGCAGCGAAGTAAAGTTATAGACCCTCAGGAACTGCTTTGCCGTCCATTCAGTTGTTTTGAATTATACGATCGGTACACCTCGCAGCGAATTTCCCTCCCCGCTTTTTCTTTTGGTTCAGCCTGTCCCTGGTGCGTTTGAGCGAGCTACTCGTGTTAACATGGGTATACTTATGTTATAAACACGACTATACTTTGACTCCTGACCAGAGCGCTCGAATGGCTGGAGTAGTACACTCATGTTTATTACCGCGCAAACGCACCACGTGAGCAAGATGTGCACACTAGCTGCGCGCGCACGATTAACGTGAAGCATCACGTACTTTGGTCCACTGGATATTGTACTTGAGTGAAATCGTCTGAGAACTAGCCTTGGTCAAGGCGTTCGTCATTGTCATTCGTCGCGATGGGCGCGTATTCAACATGGCGTCTTTTCCGGCAGTGGTGTCAGCTCCAGACGACAATGCAGTACTGAAGCTTGGGATTCCGATCGATAGATTGAAACCGCAGCAAATGTTGGCCATGAGGGACGAGACGTATTTGTCAATCTTCCAACTGGATTGTGACAGAATTGTGTATTCCTCATGTAACCATATAGCCCTTCAGACCGAATAAAAGACTTCATTTGAGAGAGATGTGTGCTGAAATTTTATGGTGCACCGTTCACGATGCGCCCACCTTATCCCGTTTTCAATGGCCAAGTTGCCTCTTGTTGCTGATACCCATTTGCGCAAAGTTACTATGGACCCTTCACTGAAAAAATCCCGCACCGATGGGTGACTATCCATAACCATTGAAGGGTTACAGCATTACACGGCAGCGCCCAAAACAGCAACGCGGCAAACCCCCGTCCTCCCGGGTAACACAGACCCACACTCAGACACCCACCGTCCACTCAGAAACTCAGACAATCCTGGACAAAATAGTTGAAACACCTTGTGGGAATTTGTCCAGGATTGTAGTCTCCTTTTGCTCCTTGTTCTTGAGCGACTGTCCATTTCGCCGTGGGTGCCTTGATCAAAGGCTTAGACTGCAGCACGACAAGTTGTCTTAATTGTTGCTTGAATTCCGCTGCAGATAAATCAATGTTGGGTGATTTTCGTGCCGAGCAGCGGCAAGTGAGACCGACGAGGCTGAGATTGCCTCAAAGCAGGGGTTATTGTGTCCAGGAAGGAAAGTTTCTTGGTGGTATCGATGCGTTTAGCTTTGGCTTCGAGGGATTACAAGAACTTGCCAGCGAAAAGGTCTTTGCCAAAAGGGATGTGCATCGGGTCCAAGACATTAACCCTTCGGGTACAGGTAGTCAGGCAAGAAATTTGGGCAAACTGTTTGAATTTGTAAGTCAGGCCCTCATCGAGATCCCGAAGCGCCAGAGCTGCGAAGACTGGGGTCACTGGCGAGTTCTCTTCACAGGCACGGGTGTAGTATTTAGAAAGGAGAAGAAAGGCTGTGCAACGTAGACCGAAGCGTGAAGCCTTGTCTATCTTAACTAGGGCCGCTTCGAGATGAGCCTTGTCCTTATCGCGGGAGATCGATTTAACCTATGGCCTGCCCTAGTCGGCGGTAATTTTATCTGTTGCTGCGTCGGGGATATCAGAAACTGACAAAATATTGTCGTGGTCCTCAGCTGGAAAGTGGTTACACGCTGAGGTCCGGGGAGGGAAAGAGCGCCAGCGTGGGATCTTGCTGATAGAATCGAACATCTCGGTACAGGAACGGTCAAGCGTTAGGTCCGACTATTCCAGCCAGGTGGAATGATGGTTAAAGGAAGTATGTCCGGTGTGCTGCTCCCGCAGGAGAGGCCGTAAAGACCGAGAACCTGAATCATGTCTCGCTGCCGATGACAAAGGCGTCCTTCAGAAGGAGTAAGATCGCCGACAGAGTCTACGTCATCTTCCTCTGATGACGCGGCCCGTTGCTCAGACTGAAGCATATCCGTGACAGGGTCGGCTCCTTGAGCGCTCCCGTATGTTGTAGAATGACCTGGAGGAGGAGCGCTGGAATGGTGCCAGTCTCGATGAGTCCCATCCCGCGTTCTGAGTAGTTATGCATGACTACAATAAACACAAGAAGTTAGAACGAAGACCCTATATACCTTCGGACTGTAATCCGATTAACCCCTCCGGTCGACTCTATAGACAAAGAGCGGTTACCGGCCTTTAGTGTTAAGACCCCAGACATTCTTTGTACACAATAATCACCATCGCCAAGTAGCTAATAACCCACAGACTCGCCGTGTTTTGCTGCGGCATACTGGAGTGAATAAATGGTGAAAAAAATGCACGAAGAGGATGCGCAGTGTTCTTCAGTAGTTCTCAGGAGTAAGCAAGTGATTTCCGCAGATACGCTCGAAAATTTCGAATCGGCGTTGGTTATTTTGCAAAAGTTGGGCGTTTTTAAAGTCAGTTATGACAAATACCCAAAATATTAATATCTGAAGTCACAATCCCAGTGGTTCCTGCGGTTAAAAGAAGGTGGAAACACGCCGCAGGAATGCATTTGACAACGTGGCGAGGTTTCATGCCTGGCTAATGAATCTGCCCAAGTTTTTGTGTGTTTTGTTATTTTCCTCTGGACCAACTATATTCTTTCATGAGAAATGGGTTTGCGGGTACACCATGGAATTAATCTCTCTTAGACGAGGTGTGGTTCTAAAAGAACTAGTGAGTATAAACTCGATGGCTTCTCGGATTCGCCTTGGGAGCCAGCTTTTGATGGGGGCGATGAGTTATCGAGATTTTCTGGCACAACACCGTACCTCAAGACATCGGTTTCAGGCTCAGCGACATCTGGCGCCCCCTACTAGTACCGAAGTAGAAACCCACTCCCGGGCAGTAGGGTCCCCTATGCCAGAAACCCATGCCCCACACCCAGGTGTTAGGGTCTTTTCTACCCGAAGGCCCCCCCCTTGGCATAAGGGCTACCTATACCCGAACTCAAAGTTTCCCGCCAATTCCAGGATCCAACACTTTCATGCAACGCCACACACGCTGAGTCATACAACCCCTGTTCCACGCTCCACCGCTTCCGGATTACCTTTATAAGCAGCTATCCACTCCAGTCCGGGACACTCTCCTAAGGATGGCTAGAGCACACTTGCCGAAACGGCGAGTTTATACTCACCGATTCTTTTAAGAACCACACCTCATCCAAGAGAGATTGCTTCTGCTAGCTACTGTAAAATCGCCAAAATTCTGGCTGTCCCGTACAGATGACGCCGCAAGGGATCTGGTTGCAACTAAAAGAATTAATTTGTAAAATGAACTTGTTGGGACAGAACAGCAAGATCAATTCTGTCAATCTCGGTCTTGAAAGCGCCAAGAGTCGCAGAACATCTGACGTGGTTTGGTAGACAATTCCATTCTGGAATCGTCCATGGGAACAGTGAGTGAAGATAGCTATTTTTGTTCGCCCGGATACGGTTGTAGATAATGTCACCATAATGATGTCTTGGAATAGATCTTGCCACTCGATTTGTGTTGGGTTGGTATAGAAGTTGACAAATGTTGTTTGGGATGAGGCCTTATAGAAGGTGCACAGTCGGGCTTTCATTCGTCTAATATCGAGGGATTCCCAATCCAGTTTAGAGATCATGTCAGACACACTGGAGGTTTGTGAGTAATCGTTGAAAATGAACCGTGCAGCACGTCGCTGAAATTTGTCAAGAGTGTCGATGTTGCTTTTCTGGTGTGGGTCCCATATCGTCTGACAATATTCCAGGAGTGGTCGAACTAAGGCTTTGTAAGCAATATCTTTTGTGACTCTGTCACAACAAGAAAGGTTTCTCCTAAGTAATCTCAAGGTCCTGTTTGCTTTAGCGGCGATTTGATTGATGTGTTTAGCCCAGGTTAAATCGGATGTGAGTTGAACCCCCAAGTATGGATAATGACTGACCTCCTCAAGAAGACTCTCCCTCATACAATATCGGTTCCTGAGAGGATTTCGCTTGTGGGTGACTCTCATGGAAAACATTTATTATGGTTAAACCCCATCTGCCAGGTAGATTCCAAATTGCAAAGCTGATTAACATCATTCTGGAGGATCCTTTCTGGCCTCGATCTCCCGGTATACTATACAATTATCAGCGAATAGCCTGACACTCGATATGTTGTTAGGTAAGTCGTTGATGTAGACCAAGAATAGCAATGAACCCAACACCGTACCCTGGGGGACTAGTGACTCCGGACTCAACTGGAGATTCTATGGAGGCCTCGCCGTCCACAACAACCCTCTGATGGCGCCTGGTGAGGAAGGATTCAATCCAGGAGTGGATGTTATTCCGAATGCCAACGTGAAGGAGCTTAGCAAGAAGTCTACGGTGGGGAACGGTGCCAAACGCCTTGCTAAAATCCATTATAATGAGGTCGGCTTGGCCACGGTTGTCTAGAATACTGTGAAGATCATTTACAAGGGCAGAGAGCTGGGTTTCACAGGATCTTCCTTTCCGGAAGCCATGCTGTTGATCGGCTAAGATCCCAAACTTCTCAAAATGACTCATGATGTGGCTATGAATGGTGTGTTCAAGCAGCTTGCAGACGATTGACGTCAATGAAACCGGACGGTAATTTGCAGGGTTGGCAGGGTCACTTTTCTTGTACATAGGTGTGATATTGGCCTTCAGCCAATCTCTAGGAAGAGCACCAGTTGAAACAGACTTCTGAAATAATTTCTGTAGAGTGGGAGCAATACTGGTTGAGCAAGCCTTCAAAACACGCGCTGTGATTTCATCTGGGCCAGCAGCCTTGCTAGGATTGAGCTCAGCAAGACGTTTCTCTATACCATCACTAGCGATACATAAATCGTTATTGATTCCATGGTGTACCCGCAAAACTATTTCTCTTGTTTCATCCACCACGAAAAGCTTCAAATCTTACTTGTATACTTTCAGTTTTCTTGTCGCGTATTTTTGGAGAATTTATGTTAGTAATTATGTTTATGGTTAAGAGAGACGTTTTGGGGATGTAAAGACGTGACCAGAACAATCACTACATTGCCGAAATTTGAGTCTCCAATGACGGTGCTTCCGTCTCATGGCGGCCATGTTGAACGTGCGGAAGCGTTACGGACACATATGCGCGGTACACACAATCCTTTGCAAATGGAACTCCGAGTATTCCTTATAGCTCGTAAGCGGCGCGTAATTTGTCTTGTCCTGGCAGCACGTGCTGTGCTAGCGGTGGCCATCATTGACCCTTTTGATCTCTGTATGTGCTTACTCGATTGTGTACAATAGCTCTATGATCGCTTAGGCACCAGACGCGACGGAGGGCAGGGGTTCATTAGTAGACTGAACGCTGTCATCCATGGCGCAGGTGAGGACTCCCGATATTTCGAGTGGTGTCTCTTCTTGGTTTTGAAGAAACCGATGAAGAAAGAGAGCGCTTACTTTTGTTCCTGGGAAGTGGGGTTGAACCAGTGTCCGATGCAGCGGGAATGAGCTAGGATCAAAGGCCCGTCCGCCGGCGAGCGGTCAGGAGCTTGGTCGGTGGGGGTGTCAACATCTTGAGACACCGGACCAGTCGTAGAAAGTTCCGGATTACGGGAAATGCCTAGCTGTAAACCGGAGCCGCGGATCGGTTGTGGAGGTCGAAAACCACGGCAGCGTAGCAGCCCGGTGGGCTCCACGGTGCCCGAAGAGTTCTTGTTGGATGTACGTCATGGTACCGTGGGTCGAGAGGGGCGTCGGTGGGCTGGACCCGACACAATGTGGAGGGCCCGCCTTGGTGTTATCAGCACGGGGCCAACTAGGTGTCCGTTCAGTCGACGCTACCGAAGAAGAGGCGGTCTTACGTTCTGCTGAGCTACGGTGGCCGGTACCCGCAGCGGGCGGAGAGGGAATAACAGCCCCGTTTCCCTGCGGGCTTTTTTGAGCCATGGGCCGACTCGTTGTCTCTCAGGTGACCGGTACGCACGGGGTCGACAGGTCGTTCAGATGGCTCGGGTGGCTCAGTTACCTGTTGGAGGGCGAAGAGGTCGAGTAATAATGAGTCAGGAATAACCCGAGGGGGAATTCCCGCTCCTGCTTCAGTCAGCGTCGTGCTCGACTGATGAGCCTGGCAGGGGTAACCCAAGGGGGAATCCAATCTCGCAGTTCAGGCCGGAGTCCTTGTCTGAGCCGCCTACCCTCCCCAACAAATGAAAGAAAGACAGGTGGTTACAAGCGGGTTCTTGCATGCGTTCTAGGTGTACGCAAAGACCATTCAATGACCGGGATAAATTAGTTACGTGTACTCGACGTGCTCCGAGTCAAACGCGCGTATACTTGCGCGCCTCATGGTGCACCTATGTGGTGAGTACTGTACCCCCACAGACATATTTATGTCTGTGTGTACCCCCCCCCACAAAAAAACACGCCCTCTTTTGTTCTACTCGGAGTGGATAGTACGGAGCATCCACTCGTTCAGTTTGGTCTTTGCCCTCATTCTCTGTAGATCGTAGCTCCACGAACTGCGTGGGCTCAATCTGCCGCTTCAGTCAGCTCTGGCTCGACGGCTGAGAGACAGGAATAACCCAAGGAGGAATCCCTGCTCCCGGCTAAGGCCTATATCCTCGTCATAGCCGTATAAAATTGAGTTGATCACTCAAGCGGCTAGGCCTTGTCCCCGTCTGACCGCTTAGAAGTGGCCATTCACGCGGTTAGCCGGGCCTTTATCCAAGAATGGCAGCGTAAACAACGGAGCACCCGCTCTGGCATGAACCAGAAAAACTCTAAAATTTTATATTCCCTCTCAAGCAGCTAGGGATTAGTGGATACATATAATCAGGTTGGGGACCAAACCACAATCTAGAGACGTCCCCAGTTTCTGCTTATGTCGCCAGTTCAAGCGGCAATAACGTCATTTTTCTCAGGTCACGTGATAATGATGTAATTTTCCCGCGCGATTTTGGGAAAATAACGAGATTTGAAATGCCGGCGGCCAACATGGCTGCCGTTACTGTTGGAGTCAAACTTGTATTCAAGCACTATTTTGGAAAATCGCCACCGTAAACATAAAATTTGACACGGTGAATCGATAGACATTTTTAATGGCAACATTTTCATGCATAAAGTAAACTTCGGCAAAGCTTCATTTTTTTCGCGAAAACGTTTTCTTCGGCAGAGTTGGACTCGCCTGCCTACCGACTTCGACACATCCAATGCAAGATTCGACCGAAAAATTTCCTCGATTCGCTTTATAGATACCAAATGAAAGTTTCATTTAGATCTTGGGTAGCATGTTTCCTGGAAATTTGATCAGTCAGAGGAATTGGTTTTGAAGTTTTGGGCCGATAAAGAGATCGATGTCTTCTGCGAACCGTGATCTAAAAATACTTCAATAATTACGTCATCGTTGCACAAACAAACGGCGTATGTATAGTCTGGCGTCGTCGCTAGATTGTGGTTTGGTCCCCGACCTGGTAATTGAGCCACTAACGTGTGAACCGCCCACTCAAGCGGCAAGGCTTAGGGCCGGGGATGGACTGCAGGGTTGGCCACACTGCGAAAGCTGCAGAAGGCACACACTGAAAAAAGAAAACAAACAACACCAAAGGCAAGGAAATAACACTCTTACCATTTCTCCATGCTCATACCAACAAAATTGAAGTCACACAAGGTAGTATAGTAAGTTATTCGGAAAAGACAATAAGATGATCAAGTCGACACAGAACCGTGTAGTGAAAACGGAACTCGAAAAACTCGAAGATGTCTAAATTAAGAGACACGTCTGTTACGATTCGGAGTTAAGAAAAGAGGGACGATTATGGCGACGTGTCCCCAGTGCATAGTGGGAGGTCAAAGGGAATCTCGGATAATCAAGTCTTTTCAGCGATTAGCTATACGCACAAGGGAAATTTGCATGTGTGGGTAGGTAGAACGCAGTAGATTTGGATGATTTCTTATAATCTCATGTGGTCTTACTGTGATGTGCGGATGCATTTTTGGGGTGTTTTACAAACTTTGAGGAGGCAAGGAAATGAACCCTTTTCCTCAGTCTGCCACAGTCTTTTTCAATGTTGCACTTTTCTCTGCTCTAAATATGTGAAGTATACATGGAGTTTTATATTCATATCGAAATTCTTTTACTGATCATTTTAAGCTTTGACATAATCCCGACGAAGGGATGAAACTGAGGACATTGTCGGTAAATATCATTTTCACTAGGTATTTGGCATTTTTTTTATCAACGCAGTTCTCACTTTTCAAACTCTAAAAAAGTTCCCCTTTCGTTCCCTTTGAGTAACAAAAAATTGGGAATAATTAAGAAGTGACAAGAATATGTTTGCATATTTTCCGCCATATCAAATCAACAATGAACCCGCTTACCAACCTGCTGAAAGAAACTGTATAGTACATGTATGCTGCATGACAATATACAATATGCTGGGCAATATTCGCTTTTTCAAAAACTTAAAGAGATGTTAGTTCTGCATGATTTCCAACCCGGGTAACCTGAAACATCTATTTTTTGTTTGACCTGACCCGGGGTGAACTCCATTGAAAACAAATGGCCGTAATATTTAGAATCAGTATTAATTCATAGGGGAAAAGTGGAGATTGCAACTTTGCCCTTTGTTATGTCTATTTTAAACTTCTGGTTTCCTTAAATTTCATGATATAAAGATAACTGAGTAATTTTATTTTAAATTAACACATCTACAAAAACTTGTTCTGATAAAGCTGTGGGTATTTATTTTTTTTACAAGCAGAACACTGCTGGGCCTTCTTAACACTTGTACAGTCATGAACGACTTCAAAACTATCAAGAAACTCATGGAATTTGCAACTACAGACTTCACATTTAACTAATTGGATTTTTTGGGCAGGTTTTGAGTGGTGAGTTGTCTACACGGTCCACAGTTTTTGCTGTCGGCCCAAATGTATCATCAAAACTGCCGGTGGAATAACCACATACACATTTCACGTACAGATGCAAGTAATTGAACACTGAGACAGTATACGCTAAGGTTACATTTGAGCAAGTTATTTGTGTTAACCAAGGGCATGAGAACGACCCATGGGCAAACAAGAGTATACTCTCCAATGGCAGAAGAACTAATAAACACCCAACATAATCGTGTACCCACAAGTATCCAGAACAAAACATCCATGAACACAACCTTAATATCCCCACAGCATTGTACCATGTATACCAGCAGAGCACATGACCTGGGTTAGGATTTTTGGAATGTCTAAAAGGGGAGTGACATTAGTGACTTTAGTCAATAAAATAATATGCCACAATTTACAAATTCATATCCATGTGACCATTCTGGCTTCCTGCTTTCATCCTCAGTGCCTATACAGTCTTTTGCATATTACCATTTTGCAATCAGCAATCAAATATTTGTGACCTAATGCGATAATTTTTCATCAAAGTAGGACCCATGCCTTCAGCAGGCATACCGGTACATTTAGTACATCAAAATTTCAAATTAAAAAAAATCAATGCACAGAAGTATTTATATTGGTGAGCAACTTGGTGTAAAAAGAAAAATTGGCAAAATACAAATTAAAACAATCTGTTAAAAAAATCCCTCTGAAATGTCAATGTACAGAAGTTTAAGTTATACGAAAACATCTGTCTTTTTAAAATGCACAGTAGGAAGAAATACTTCTCGTATTAATTAAAAATATATAATGTGCGATATGTACAGACTGAACACAATATTTTATTTAGTAAATGCACTGTTAAAATTGTATATACAAGGAACAGGCACATGTAGACATCAGAACTTCCAAATATGAAACAATGAATGAGCTAAATATCCGTATCTAATATTCCCTCTCTAAAAACCCCACAGCTTGCGGTAGTTCTCTACAGATGTTTTCTTCTTTGCATGTTTTTGTTATACGTCCACACGCTCGTAGACTTTGCACGAGGGGTGTGCTGCCCTCCTGTGATCAGACATTGTATTCTCAGAACAGGCAGTTGGCTGCATTTTGTCATTGCCTGTAGCTCCCTTCAGCATAGACACTGACCGACAAGCACTGAATCATTGGTGAACAATGCATACCTCCGTAAAACACACAGCTCATTTTTCATCATTAGGGCACCCTCTTTGGGTACTTCTGAGGTTAAGGCAAACAGTTGCCTCGGCAGTTCATGCACAGACCGAATAGATTTCCACTGATTCACTGCTAAGTCATTCCATCTCATTCTGAGAGAACTTTACATAAGTCCTGCCATCCAAAGAACTGCAAGGTACCACAAAGGTTCAGCTCCATCAACTTGTCAACTGCTGATGTGTACTTGCCAACCTGAGAGCTGCGTCATCTACTAGTATGTACCTTTCAGAGTAACATGTCACCTAGAGTGGCCATGGGTCTGGTCCTTTTAGCATCTGGCAAGTCCCAATGCTATACTATCGGTGGTAGGAACTGCTTAGGGGGTTGGTCATCGACTTGGTCAAAGTCCTTCTCTTTGCTGTCTTTGATCGATTCCTTGAGGTCTTCGGTTGTGATTGAGGGTGCCTTTTCTAAAAGCTCCTCAAAGTCAAGTACAAGGGGTTTAACCTGTAAACCAACAATATGTTCCTGTCATTTAGCAAGGGTGGAGTTGCAAAACTGAAGGTATGGAATCAACTTAAAATGGTATGTTAGTTGATTTTTCTTGTGGGCATCAAATACATGTAGGTTTGCGCAGATGCATTTTGGAAAAGTTGATTATCTCAGAATCAAATTTAGTCAAGTCGCTTTAAGTCTCCCATCAAGAGTCGTGACACAAGTCAGAAACACTGAGTTTACACCAAATTATCACACATTCAGAAACACCCGACCACATCTGCTTTCATACTGTGGCACAAACTCTTATGACAACAGCATTGCAATATCTCTGACTTACTTTGTTAATGGGCTTTTCAGTAGTTTCGCTGAGTTGATGAGGTTCTTTCGGTGGGTTTGCGTGAGTAGTGTCCCTGATCTTAGCACTCTTTTTCTTCACAGACACCTTGCGTTCCACACTGTCTTTACCTGAATAACAGACCATAAAGACACATATTTTTAAATGTTATCACTATCGCAAACTATCTTTATACAATTATAATAATGTTTGAGAGGTTAAAAAAAGATGTTGGTGTGCTCGGAAAAGAACAACAATGACAGTGGCACTAGGTCAGCTTCGTTTCCAAGAATGATTGAGGGTCAGAACTACTTCTTGAGAATATCAAAAGGTTTTTAAAACCACTAAAGATAACGTACACATTGGTACATGTAGCAAAGAACTTTTTTGGAGTAACAGTGAAAAACTATGGTTGATATCATTCAGTTTGTTGTGCTTTTGTTACCGCCATAAGTAGGAATATGAACTCCCAAGACAGATAAGATTTACACAAATTTTAAGTTCAAAGATATTTAATTTTTGAGCTCTATACTCCTCATATGTTCCTTCACGACACATTCTAAATATGTCAAGAATACAGGAGAAAGATCTGGGATGTCTAAAGTCCAGATGTGAATGTCTGGCATAAAGGACTATTGGGTAAACAGAATAATGAATCTCACTTTTATGGACGGTTTCATTCTCTGAGTTGTTCTGCACTTGATGTTTGTTGACCTTCCCCTGCCGCTGCGCCACATCCCCTTCGTCCTGCTCCAGCTGTTGCTGCACCTCTTGGTGCTGGTGCGAGGCAGCGAGGGGTTCTACTTCCCCAGCCTGCTGCTGTTGCTGTTGCTGATCCGTCTCTGCCTGCTTATGTTGCTGATGTTGATGAGGGTGTCGGTGGTGGCCATGGTGGTGGCCATGGTGGTGGTGGTGATGGTGCTTGGGCTTGGTGGAGGTGCGGATGATCTGCTGCTGGGTGAGCTCCTTATGAGACTTGTAGAGCTTGTCCTCCTGGATCCACTCGTGTTGCAAGGCCTCCTCTGGCGTCATCCGCTGACTTGGGTCCCACCTGGAAATTGGGTCAGGCAAGCAAGAGATGTCAGGCAGCTCTAATTTGGCTGTGTATCCAGTAATTCAGTAATTGGGCAGGATAAGAACAGGATTCATCTAAGTGTAATGGCATCAAGTCACTTTGGTCCTGTCTGCAAATGGGCAAAGGAAACTGAACAACTTTTCTAATCATCACAAAATTTCAAATGACTTTTGTGAGAAAAGGATCTAATATTGGTTCCCATGAAACTAAAATCTTATCACCTAATGTGCTTCTCTCTAAAGTATAGAAGCCTCTTTTTAATTTAGAGTGAAAGAGTAAAGTTACATGAAGTACAAAATGCACAGTCTTGAAGTAAAGTTGGTGGTTACAAATGTTTGGGCTTCCTGACAGTTTGCGTCCAACAGAGGCTTTCTCAATGATAAACTCAGATTCTTTAAGGATGGACACATCAGCACCTCAGAACTTCTCTACAGTTGATGTATTTCAGGTTTCTCCATGCAGTAACTAGTTGACAGTTTACAGCAATACCCCTGTCTGTTTTGCAAGCGGGGAGGGCAAGACTGGGTGACAACATGCTACTCACGCTAGACATCTCTCAATGAAATCCAGGAAGAGCGTGTTGTTTGTCTTGATGGCGTAGCTCAGATCTTTGGAGTTTGGCCGTCGTTTCTTCCCTTTACTATTGGTTATACATCTGGGATTTCCCTTGGAGTCTTAGCAAAAAAGAATTTTGGTTTAAGTTTTCTTCAGCAATAAGAAACTAAAAGAGGGCAATTGAACCAAATTGCATCAAACCAGAAGGTGCAACACATTTCCTTCAATACAAAAAATATGTGCCAAATATTGAAAGAAACTTTTGGAGTAATTTAGCAAATTTCCACAGAAATGTCAAGATGTTAAATAGGTTTGTCTTACCGAAGAACAGTCTTCTCCTCTGTGCTTCCTCAATGATGTTGGTGGGAGGCATTCCAAGAACCTGCGAAACAAGTGATTTAAGTGATTTTTTTCATGGATGCTTTGATTTTTTAGTCTTTCTGGACTTCGATAGCAGCAAGGAAACCTTACACTGTAATCACTTTGGCAAGCTTGTTGGGACTAGGAGTTTCCCATTTTTTTCAGCATTTCCAAGACCACAACGAAAATTTACCATGGTCCTTCCCTGAAGATGTCTGATATTTCAACAATAAAAATATCTGACAACTCACCTCCATGATGCAGGCCAGCTGTTCCACCTCATTCTCTCCAGGGAACAAGGGGTAACCTGTGTAGAGTTCAGCCAAGATACAACCAAAGCTCCACATATCGATGGGCATGCTGTAAGGTAGACCAAGGATGACTTCTGGTGATCGGTAGAAGCGTGACTGGATGTAGGTGTACACTAGTGGGGAATAATGTTGAAATAAATTTTTTTTTTTGAAGTGTGCAGAATTGTCCACAAGCCTCAAAACGCTACAACGCTGTAGGAAGTTAATGTGTAAAAAACAACTGACTCTGGTTTTATTATATTTTAAAGGGCCAAATTGAATGTCTGCCAGATGTTTTGACTCTTCTAGAGATTGAGGGGAGGTGCAGTGAAGGGGGGACCTTGAGCAAAACATTTGACCATGTTTGCAAGGTACCGGTATTTCTATAGATCCCATGCAACCTTTCTCGTGGGCCCTTTGTACTGTTGGGGTGAAAAAGAATAATGCATCAGCAAGAAGTAAGGGCACCATGTCAAAAAAATAATGTACTTGGCCAGCTGCGGTGTGCCCCACAGGGCTGCACAGCGCCAAGGGTCGGCACGCTCTGGCTGGCTGACCCTTGGCATCGCCGACTTACCTGCGGATCCTGCGTAACAAACGGTATAGATCTGCATAATGCATACCGCATTTGGGGTACTTGTTTGCAGCTGTGGCACACCGACAGTATCACAAACACCCTGATGCTGGCAAGATTTGACGTTTTGACCAACAGGTTAAACAAAATTGTGAAGTGTCAAACAGAATTGTGAAGTGTCATGATAGTCCACTTTAAGGAGGCATTTTGGCTCATCAGTTGATACAGAAAGCCCACACTCCAAACATTTTTCTCTTACTTTGTATTATTTTTGTATTCATAGAGGAGGCCTGCCACCTGACATCTGTGTACACTATTAACAGCCCTCCCAGCTTTTCCAACCACGATCATCAACTCCCCCCCACGCTCAACTGTCAACATACCTATTGCCGACATGGATTAAAGGAAAAGACCAATCACAATATTAGCTGTACATATTCTTAATTGTCAATGGTTGTGAAAGTTTAAAGCAGCACACCTCCCCCTGTTGTACAGAGCGGAATTACCAGAGGTCCCCGAATATGTCCAAATGTGTTGGTTGGGTATTATTTTTGGCCATACTAAAATTAATTCCTCAGCTACAAAATATTTTTTCTGGGCTTATTTTTCTTTCTAGGACTTAAAATATTTTCTCAGACTCAGAAACCTGTCACCAGACTGTCACTATTTTCCCGGAATTTTTTTTTTCTCGGACTTGGAATATTCTCCCAGGACTCGGAATATTATATCCTGGACCCAAGAATATCTTACTCTTTTCCTCCGCCTCGGAATATATATTCCTGCCCAACAATATTTCCCTGACGTCAAAACAAATGTTTCACCAGACTATACATTTCACTATACTTAGAAAAGAAATGTTGAGATGAGAAGGATCAATATTTTTGGTGGGTCAAATCCTTAGAATAAAAAAAATGATTACGCGGTGGGGAACAGAAACGACAGACACCCCACAGGGTCCAGGTTTGGATCAAGAAATGCTGAGACGGGAAAATTAATATTTTTGGTGGATTAGATGCTAAGAATAAAAATAATGATTACGCGGTGGGGAGGGGGAAAAAAATAAACACCACACATGATCCAGGTTTGGATAGAAATGAAATGCTGCCACAGGAAGGATGAACAATTTTGGTGAGTGGATGCATAGAATGAAAAAATATTAAGCAGTGGGGAAGAAAAAAGAAATCCTGAGATATGAGGAATTAATATTTTTGGCGGATTGGATCCTCGGAATTAAAAAAATGATTACACAGTGGGGCCGGGGAAAAAATACATGGGTCCTAGTTTTAGATTAAAAAATGCTGAGATGGGAAGGATAAATATTTTTGGCGGACATGATGCTGGGAATAAAGATAATGTAGTGGGACGGAGAAAAAAATAAACACCACGTTTAAATTTGGTCCAAGTTTGAAAAGAAAAGAACTGTTAAGGTTAGAAGGATGAACATCTTTGGTGGGTTGGATGCACGAAAAAAAATTAAGTAGTGGGGCAGGGAAAACAAAAACAAATCCTGAGATATGATTGATTTATATTTGTGGTTGATCAGATCCTTGGAATTAAAAAAAAAATGATTACACGGTGGGGTAGGCAAAAACTAAACACACCACGTGGTCCAGGTTTGGATAGAAAGGAAATGCTGACGCAGGCCTTGTCCATCAAAAGACACAGCTGCCTAAAAAGTAAGCTGGCCCCATTACCTTGGGGAAATATACATTTACATGTATACTTATATGACAGTTGGTCGGCTGTCAATCTTTGGTTGAATGAAAGCTCCTCCGAGAATTTGTTTGAAATAGTGTCACCGTCAATGTCGTCGATCTTGTTAGTCGAAATAAAAAGTTTACATTTTGAAAACGCTTTTGTAGTACATGTATCTCCTGCTCAAAGGGTACTGACCACATTTCACTGCAATTTGAGGTCTATTTGAGCTAAAGGCAGACTGAATAATTTTCCGATCTGGATCCAGGAAAATGACTGACCTCAGACCATGAAATTCAATCTGAACTTTCAATCCACTAAAATTTCAAAGTCATATAAAAGTAGTTAATACTTTTCCAGGTTCCCTCCCAACATCTGCTTTGAACTTAGGACTCCCTGCCACAGGACTCGCTCTGTGGCCAAAATTGACAACAGACAGCAGCGTGCTGCAGTGAGCCTTGTGTGCGAGAGAGGAATTTCTCTATTCACGCTGCTCGTTAACGTAACAATAGGGAAGACATAATAGGGATTGTTGATGAGCTGGAGAGTGGTCTGGGCGCCGCATGGTGCCGTGTGTGGAAGGGGGAAAAGGTGACTTGGAAAAAAGCGCTGTGATGCGCTGCAGTGACTAAAAACATTTTGTTACAGTTAAACTGTTCTATTGGGTACTTCTGCACTAAAATATAGCTTAGCATCTAAGAAAACCCCCAGGTGCAATGTTTGGATATAGCCAGTGATGTGAGCACTTTGCACACTGAAGATGGAAAAAGGCAGTACTGACAGGCTTTGTCCACTTGAAAAGGTTCTAACAAGAAAGCTCAGCAACCCCAAGAAAAAAATAACTTGAAAGAATATGCTTTGCAAATCATTGCCTCACTTTCATTTCAATAAGGTATGTGTGTGTGTTCTCAGATCACTTGACTTTTCCAAAAGTCATCAACAGTGTAATTTCTCACCACTTGTCCACCTGACCTGAGAACAGGCAAAAATTCTTCAGGACCGGCACTTGTTGCGTGGATAAATTTTACAAACCCCAATTGTATTACAAATCTTCAACACTGGAGAGAAAAAACTCTTCATACATGTAGTTCCATCCAAAGCATTGGACATGATGGAAACACACGCCCAGATAGCACCAATGGGCTTCAGTAAGTTTTACAAATTTTGCTCGGAGTGGACAGGTAGTTTTTAACATTGCCTGAGAAAGGACAGGCAGATAGTTTGATCCTCGATGAAACCCTGCTCACCAAGCTTCTCCAAGCTGCAAACCAAAAACAGGGCCCGGTTTTGAACAGCAACAAAGCAAAAACTACTGCTGAACAACTGGCATACTGAGCATATGCCAGAGGAAAACCTACCACATAAAATGAGTCATGCACAGGAATTGGGCTATTTTTTTCTAAGCATACAATACCTTTGCTTAGCAATTCTATGCCTGCAGCACTGTTAAAAAAAAAATGTAACCCTTTAGAACCACATCATAAAAGCATTCTGACTGACCTCGCTGGTTGACATAACAGCTGCTGCCAAAGTCAATTACTTTGATGGAGTTCTGGTACTTCTGCCTGAGCAGGATGTTTTCGGGTTTGAGGTCACAGTGAATGATACGCTCTTGGTGCAGCAGCTTCAGGCAGCCCAGGAGTGCATAGGCAAAGCGTCGGATCAGGGCTATGCTGAAGCCCTGGAAGTTGTTTTTCTTGATCAGCTCGTACAAATTCATTCTGCCGGGGAGAAATTGTATTTTCTTCCAAATCAGTACAATCTCTTTCCATATCAGAGAGTGTCACTACAGTGGGACAATGGACATCATTTTCTGACCACTTTCCCTACATGTCTGAACAGAAGCAGACAGCTCTCTGAACACGACAAATACATAGCATTGAGAAACAGTAGACAAACAGTTGACATTCAAGCACTCTTGCATCTAATTTAATTTCACCCTCTGCTACATGTTGGCAACAGTAAATTATGAATGATGGTGAACATGGAGGGCCATCTTAAACATGATCCAAGAAACGGTGAACGACTTACAAATATTCCTCCAGGTTCATGAAGATGTAGGGCCTGAAATGATTCCAGTTTCCACGGAAGTTTTCTCAATATTCATACTGCATGATTTCAAACACCCCTTGCTATTACAGGCTTTAGTTGATACGTTTGTGTACCTCCTGGCATGCCGTGCACCACAAGTGCAGTCTGACTAATCATTTCAAACATATTGGTCCAAGGATGGCACCCAAAGCGCTGGCCAAAACAAATTAGCCTATAAATCTGGATTTTCGTTCCCAGTGACATTGATCACCTTTGCAATGCTTTTCCATTTTCTTTACAATACTTTTTTCTAAATTGCAAACAGTCCCTGTTACAGGTGCAATTGATCTGACATTCCCTGCGTGAGGTTTTTATAGGAAAAAAAAAATTGTGGGTTTCCTGCTGAAGTGAAGTACAGCCCATCAGTGGTATTTAGCTTGTACTCGGGCTAGAAAAACCCCAGAACAAATACACTAATGCCATTAAGTAGATCAAGAGAGTGAGAGAGACCCACAAATGTGAAAGCTTGTCCAAAGGCAATAAATCATGAATGCATTTGAGGAGAGGTCAAGTATATTAGATTCAAGGGGAGGTTAGACAGGCTATGTCAACACTCACCCTAACAGTTCAAACGTGATGCATAAGTGGTTTCTGAAATAGAAATATTCCAACATATGGATGACGTTGTTTGAGTTGTCCTTGTCCTTCCTTCTGAGTGCATCCAGTATCTTCACTTCAATCAACGCTTGATGATGAAACCTACAAAGAATGGAAAAAAAAAAATCAAACTTCCACGTGATCGGTTTTCATCAAAGCCAGGAAGAAGTTGAATTGGTATTTTCTGAATCAAAACAAACCAAAAGAAATTGGTAGTTCAAGCTTTTGAACTCACAACGTCGAGCATATTCGTCTTATTGTTTAATATTTAAAAACTGGAATTTGAGTATGATATTCCAATGTCAGGAATGAAACAAAATTTGAATTCACACCCAAGCAGTTTGGTAGAAACAGCATGTGCAACAAATGAAGGGTTTATTTCCAAAATCCCTGTGAAAAACATGCAATTTTCCACAATTATGAAATACTGGATAGCTTTAGCAGCGTACCATGCGTCCCTGAATTTTTTTTTTCACTATTTTGACTCTTTAAAGTTGTGTTTGGCTGTCTTAAAGCTGCAGAAACTGACCGCAGGCAATTGAGAGAGGGGAGGATTCTGAAAAATGGCGCTTATCGCATTTTGGAAATGAATTCTTCATAAATATTTTCTTATTTTTAACTTGGAAACTTCTGTAGCTGTTGGCATAATGAGCAATTCATGTTCACGTATACACTATACATGTAAGGCTAGAAATTTGAGTCTTAAAATTTCAGAGTAATGAAACCTGCAGTTTACTTTTTTGACGTCTAAATATGATATGATAATACATGTACGATTTTGTTTCCCAATTAAATCAAAATTTGACTATATGTACCGTATTTCAAACAAAGAACCAAGCACAATTTATTATAAAACACAAACCTACATGAATCATGAAGTTTGCTTAACACTGAACGACATTTTCTTGTTCCACACACAAAAAACTTAACTATTAAAGGAAGACCTGCAGTCTAAAACTGTGCCAGAATTATTGCAGTAACATTTGACTTCTCAAATATCATGCTTCCATAATTTCCCATCCCAAACAAAGTAAGTGATCCACTCTGCCTGGCTCATCTGGCATGATCCCTCAAACCGTGGCTTGGCAGCAGACATGAAGCATCCATAATCATGTATGCACTGCTGACATTTCAAAGTAATGGCAAGTATTGTGGCTGCTTCTCTTCCAAAACTCTGCCAAATTTACAGGTACAAGCTCAGTCATCTATTGTATGAGGTGTGTATGGAAGACTACACATCAGGCATACCCGGTACGATGTCACATGCAAACCTGTTTATCAATTTTCTTTCGCTGAAAACAACCTCTTGTACCCCGGTGTTTTTGGTTGCAAGGTATTGACCATAGGGTATGCACATTTGACATCAGGCAAAACTATGCTTAGCCATAAGTATAAAAGCAAAAGATTTACTAAGTATCAGACAAATCTGTGAATCGAACGGTATTAAAAGATCAATTATAAAACTATGTGTATTAAAAAATACATGAAAATGTAGCCTTCTTTAAAAGTAATGAGACAAGTGTACACTTTGAGGTAAAATCTGAGACCAATTGAAAGAATGGTGATAAAAGGTGATATTTCTGAAAACTCTGACCATCCTTAAGAGTAGCAGTCAATATGAGGCATTAAAACTTTACAGGTGACAAATTAAATAATCACAAACAAGCATTTCCAGCCCAAACGACAGTTGAAAGGAACTTTTTTTTTTACCTTTTCTTGTTTCTGATGATTTTTATTGCCACTGTGTCTCCTGTCTTGTGGTCCATGGCTCGGACGACCTGGCCAAATGACCCTTTACCTATGACCTCAAGGATCTCATATCTATACGTGAGATGATCATGGAGCACCTGACAAACAGAGAATAGAAACAAAAAGATCAGACAGAAAGTACAACTGTAAATCATGTTGGTTTGCAAGCTTAAATGGGGAAATAAGTTAAAGTCTTAGTATCTTAGGTTATAAAATATATAGTGAAAGTTATTACCAAGTGCATGATTAGACAGCCTACATGTATGTTGAATATACATGTAAGACGATTTCAGATTTTGGTTCGATCGACCAATTTTAACATGACAGAGAAAGAACTACAGTGTTGACTAAATCTTGTTTGGAATAATCATGACAGAAAAAGTTTTGGTTTGCAACAGCTGTGACACTGCTTTAGATATAAGATTTGAGCATTTCTGAATGTACATTGGTACCATTAGCAAGGCCAAGTCTGACTGTACTTGTACAGGTGCAAAGAGTACTGATGTGGTTATCCTGCTTTGTGGGAGACAAATTGTGCTTTTGTAACTAAACTTTCCGATCTGAATACTGAGAATATACCTTTATCAATAACACAACAGTCAGAAGTTCATACACAGTACGTACAGGTAGTAAAATTATTGCTGCAGACACAAAATATCTCTATCCCATTCAGCTTGGTCATTCAACCCTCAGTACATACATGCCAGACTGACAGTTGCACTGTAGCACTAGTTCCAATTATCACACCAACGTTCACTCACGTAACACGTACATGTAGATAAGAAATGTCCTTGTTCCCACCTGAGCTACACAAGTCACTGAGGACTCTTCATTTTTACATAATGCATGTACAGGTAGAAATGACGTATGGTACCTGTACCAGTAGGTACCGGTACCTCCATGAAGTCTACATGTGAACATCTACTTTCATGTTAAAAACAGGTGTTCCATCCAAGGTCATTTTGTCAATTAAAATTTCATTACAACTCAATAGTAATTTGATTCCTTTTAGTCATTAGGGTGAATGTTGCAACCTTCACGGACTAATCCTGGTTGATCAGTCCATTAAAGGTATGTAACTATTTGTTGTAGCATGTGTTTCCCTTATTTTTAAGTGATTATTGTGCATATAAAATGAAGACATACATGTACTCATGACTTCTTGACTACATAATCTTTTCCATTGTATTAGAAATTTATCTACAAATCTGTAAATTTGTATCTTTGATAACAGGAAATGAGCATTTTGTGGGATTGTTTGCATCTGAAAATGAATACAAACCAGTTAAATGAAATGAAACGACAAGCACATTTGATGTAAACATGAAATACAAGCCTGAACACCAATGGGAAATACATTCAGACCTAGAAATGAAAAGAAATCTGGTCAACGAAATTAGGGCTGGGATATGCATGTTAAGAATATGTACAAATACACATAGGTTCACCATTGTGGCACAGTTATAAGTTATCATACCGGTAGCACAGACATTACAAAGGTACAAGAGCCATTTCCACAAGCAGGGAAACTGCAATGCACGTGTTTATTTCTGAGTTCCCAAACCAAATTAGCTTGAGGCGTCTGAGGATCTTTTGTCTGATAGAATCGGCCTTGATTTGGTTGAGCTTCAGCCCACACGTTGATGCCTCCAGCTACACTTACACTAATGTAAATGTAATCCTAGCCCCATGGTGTGACTTACCGGTAATGTACCAGTACATGTACATGTATATGTAGGCCTTACTATTACGCAAATGTTAAGTCTTTGTACAAATCTGATGGTAGGAAATCAAGCTACAAGGAATTTCATTTTCCTCCAGAAAATACGAAAGAAATATTTAAGTGTAAATTAATCTTGGTGGTGACAGGTGCAGTTGAACGAACTGACTCATTGAACAAAAAAGTTGAAGTTTCAAAGTTAAACTTCAAGCTACATGTTGGTTGCAAACAGGCATATCGTGTATAGCATCACAGCAAATTTTAATATTTTTACCTCCATAACCATAACCATTGTAACCATAATGCTGCATTTGGTATGGCAAGTTTTTCATTTTCCTATATTTTGTATCTGAATCAGAAGCCACTTGCCACTCCCCCTCCCTTTTTGGGGGGGGGTACCCTGATGCAGGAGTCATTCCATTTCCATTATTCTGTACCTTGGTACATTTACATGTCTATGTATGTGTGGGTGTAAAACGGTATAAAATTGTTTGTATTTGAGAACGGTATCTTTGGGTTCAGAAACCATTCCAAGTACTCTCTATCCTGGTTCTGTAGCATCGTATCATGTTCACTAATCCATACCATGGTTTGATTTTACTATTCTGTATCTTACCATAGTATGCATGCTCTATGTCTTTGGTATCCAAACCACTGTCATTCTCTACCCTTGTTCTGTAGCCTAGTGTTATGTTTCGATATTCAGTACCAACGTTCTGTACCTTTGTGTAAGACCCATTTTCATCATCATATCCATTATTCTGGGCGGCACCTTGTACCCCTTCAATCTTCTTTGCCTCTGGACCCAGGAACCAGATATCAGTGTGATCCAGAATCTCCGACTGCTCGTAGGCTGTGAGTCGGTCTCGGTAGAACTTCAAGGCTTCTGTAAATAGTCAACAGACATACAGGTTTGAGTTGAGAGAATAGCACCCTAGATTACATGTAGTAGTGGCATCATAACATACGTCAAAGCTATATATTTCAAGTCTAAAATTCCAAACACTGTTAATGCTGCAAAGCATACATCAACTTATGTTGGTCTTTTTTCTTCATATTCCAATTTCAATTTTGGGTAAAACAATCACCCTTGATCATATTCAACTGGTCCTACTCTTGAAGCTCTGCCAAGGCCCCCCAATCCTCCCCCCTCCCAAAATACTGCATACAACATACATGTGCAGTGTGTGAATAATTGTTTTTCCTGATACACTTGTTATCACGTTAATGACTGAACAAACAAGACTGCATATGATAATGCCACACACCTCCGGGTGTGAGAGGCAATCTGTGACCCATCCCATCCTTCTTGGGGCTGTCGGACTTGCTCTGATCCCGATCTCTGAAAAAAAAACCACCAAATTGAAATCACGAACCACTCATCATTCGTCACTTAGAGAGCCACATTTGAAGTCTAAAGTATGCACAGAGAGTCCATGAATCGACAGGCAGAGGTGAAGCAGGAAAGGTTCAAATACATGAGATGGCACGCACAACTGCTATGTGCAAGCCGGGGGCAATTAAACGTGATGAGTTGGATGGTGCATCCATGGTGTCAAGCCAGGGACAGTCATCACCCAATCTGTAATATACTGGAGGCACTTGTACGTCTGTCTTCCTCAATGTTCTGTGACATATTATTTGCCCGTAGGTGGACAGTTACTCGTAAATTTCCTCCTGCACTTGTACATATGCATATATTTCCTTATCCGAGAATCGGTTTTCAGGCAAAAGCCAGATTTCAGGCATTTTCGAAGTGAAGCAAAGCTTCACGCCTTAACCAGGTGTATTAGGCTTCTCTGGCCTTAGTTTCAGGTTCTGAACAAGGACGTACATGTAACTGTCATCCCTGATGATCAGATGAGCATCTACTTCATCTAACCAAATTCAATACATGCACTATGCAGATTGGATTTTAGCAGAGTAGTTATTGTCTGGTGAGATGCAGAACTTAATTTAAGCAGTGGTCAGTGAAGGTGGACTGAGATGGGTGTTGTGCAGGTGGGAAAATTTTCGTTTCAATGAGTACGCTAAAGGTAGCATTCTGGAAACACTGAAAACTTTGAGATATTCAAGGCCTGCAACTCGGGTTCTGGAGAGAGGGTGCAAGCAGAGGGCATTTTGAGAAATGGGCATCGTTTAACAGAGAGGTAACACTGTGGACAGACTGGGAACATCCCCACACAAACTGATTCTAGAGCAAGAGACAAGATCTACAGCAGAGCTTTGAGAAGCAGGATCGCTTTTGTAAGGTTCACTCACATGTGTGTCTTTTGCCGATGGAGCCGTGCCTGCTCACTGGCGGCATGTGTAGAGACCAGGTTACCATGCAGGTTGCTGAGCTGGGGCAGCGTCTCCACATTGCTGATGCCCCGGGGACCCAGGTTGAGCTGCGGGAAGCTGGTGTTGCTCTTGGTCATTGCTGGGGGCAGGCTGGAGGATGTCAACTTCTGCCCCAGACAAAAAACAAAACAGAAAATATTATTTGATGAACGGATGCATGACATTTACATACCAATGATTAACAAAAAGTAAAAAATTGTTTTACAAACACATGCACCGGTGTTTATGACCAGTTAAATATGAAACCTACATTTTAAACCCTTGAAAGAATGATTCATGGAAGAATGACAAAGTGGTCTATTTCACTTGAATCAGCAGAAGCCACAGGTATGAACGCATGCAAATTTACAAGCTTAGAAGAGGTACACTTATATCAACAAAGCATTAACAAAGCATTAGAGACACCTCAGTGCATGCAGCTCGATGAGCTCATCATCTATCAGGAAAATTGATTCATAAATTTTGAGATGGACAGGATATACTGTAAATGTACATGTATCTGTTTATGAAAAGTAGAAACATACTGCATTCAATTTATCTGGTCTGATGATTTAATATGCTATCTCTCATCCACCCTGAGCTGAAGTGCACCCCCACTGGGTTCTTACACGCCTTTGGTGTGCATGCAAAGACCATATATTCCAGACTAAATTTGTTGTGTGTACACAGCATGCTCCGCGTCAAACGCGCATAAACTTGCGCGCCCATGCGGTGAGTGCAAGCCCTCTTTTGTTCCTGTTCGGAGCGGATAGATCTCTGTTCAATGCAGACATGTACGGGGTACAGTATACACGGTACATGAATCTGCAACAGAAAGTGTTGGTTACAAATAAATTTCTGATGTTGGCAGCTCCATGAAATTTACCGGTACCCCGATGTCTGTGGGAAAAAATGCTCAGAGCCAGAGTACAAGTGCAGTACATGTACACATACTGTACATCTACACATGTAGGATGGACAGAAGTGTGTGTACCGGTAGCTAGATTTGAAGATATGAGACCTACATGTACATAGTTAGGGATTACCAAGGATGGATGTAGAACCAATTTTTGGGGGGAGGGGGGCCAAACTTGGGTTAAATTTCTTTTCATGGAACTTTTTAAGGGGTGAGGCTACATGTATGTTAAAGGCTTTTTAAATGCTTTTTGAAGGAAGGGAAATGAAACTGACCAAAAAATTTGCCCTCCGGTCATTATTTAAATAAGAAATAATTGAGACTCTAAATTTGGGGGGCCATCCACGTACATGTACCTATGCTGCCCCCTCCTCCTGGATCCACCCTAAAGGATTAGATCCCGATGATTTGGAATGGAAATGTTTGGGTTCTGTTTCCCTGTCTCACCTCCCCATGTGTGCCTGATGTCTTCCTGCCCACCATGCCATTGATCTGCAGTGGCTGAGTCTTGCTGTTGCCATACTTCATGGTGTCTGATGCAAGATGACCCTTGGCGTCTCTGGCAGGCTAAGAGAGGATGCAAGAAAAGTGAAAAAAAAAAGACATAACACCATTTCCACAGAACTAAATGAGTGGCAGATAATCCACAATAGCTCAATACATGACACACAGAGTTAACAGTTCCCATGATCTACATGTATGTACCGGTATGATCTAGGGTTTAGTGCAGACATACATGTGCATGTACGTCCAACACAAAATCAACAGGAATATTGATGTCAATCTAGTGGATCATTGGAAGCTACGCATCAAGAAATGCAAGCATAACACTGTAGACCATAAAATGCCAGATGGGAAGAAAAAAAATGCTTTCACATGATTGGTTCCATATCATATTATAACAATTGCAAAACGGGTAATTCCTTTTTTTGTGTCCCTGTCAAATCTGACATATAATTTTGTAAGTTCAGAACACATTTTATAATTTCCAACAGTGATGAATTAATACAAATTATCTGCCAAACAAATAGTAACAGTTTGAACCCAATTCCAGTGATATTGCCATGTCAAATAACAAAGGTCAGATGTAACTGGGACACAAAAATGTCAAAATGTGGAACCCTAATTTCTGGAATCACCCAAATACAATGTACACAGTAAATGTACCAATACTTGTGACCAAGTGCACATCTCAATGGCAATGACCAATGTTCAGCTGTTTGCCAGGTACGTGTATTAAATTGAAATGAAATATTAAATAAAATTTACAACAAAAGACGTGATTGAATATGAAAAGTCAATTTAATGATTATTTTAATTAAAAACCCTGCTAAACTTGATGTACCGGTAATTACAATGTACGTGTACCGGTAATTAATTTCTGTCCTTAAATTTTCACTCTGTACCTTCATAATCTTTTGAAAACTTGCATGGATGAAATTCACTGTTTCCAACATTTACCAACACATTTCTATCACATTTACTCCTAGTTGGTCTTGAGCATAACAAGTATACTTTGAAATCCAAAAATCTGCACAGGAAACGTATCATTTCAGTGCACACATGCTGTGTGTACCTGAAAGACATACGTGACTTCCCATTCTGTCCATGAACATCTCGTCAATGCGACGGGCTCAGGGCAAACAGGCAGCTATTATGTACGCCAAGTGCCCCATACACCACTCTACTGACACTCTCCAGAGGATCACAAGAGGTACAATGTGTATGTACACAGAACCAAGATAAATTGTCCATGCAGGCAGCACCTAATTGCTGTGAGTTACTGTATTACAGGTGTATTGGTCTCCTCCAGGGGAAGGAGGTATGCAAAACATCAAAGGAGCTGCCAAAGATCCAGGCAAAGAATGCATCCCTCTCTACTTGCGATTGAGCGGCCCACTGTGATTTTTTTTTATTTTCTTCCTCAGAGGCCTCAACAAGCGGTGTCTTCTGTTAATTAAGTGGTCAGGACAAAAATAGCAATCTGTGAGACCTGTGGATCAATATTTTTCTTTCATAGCCAGAGCAAGCAGCTGCTTTTCCCTCCAAGCCACAGTCGTCTTCTCACCTGTCTGTGCTCCCCATCTGATTGAATATCTCCCCATGGTTAGTTTGTGTTTTCTCCCTGTGAATTTTTTTTTAGCCCAAATTTCTTTGTCTGGATGTAAATTTTTTTCCCCTTGTCTTTGCAGCTGGTTTTGTTCAGACCAAAGGTTGTCAACTCTATCAAACTGATCGCCTGTCATTGATCTTTGAATGCAAGCACTCCACACTGGGAACAATTGCAACTTTATCTCTCAGATTGCATGCATCCATTTGCAATCTGATTGCTTGCTAATGGACGCTATGGCAGACATACAAACAAAACAAAACTCCATTCGCATCATTTTTGTTGCACCATTTCATACATTTCCTTTCCTGCTAATTTTGTAGCTAGCTCCACAGTTCTGTTTTGCCCAGTTTGTTAGTGCTCACAAGCATAACTTTCAATGTGCAATTTCAAGTCAGGTCATTGGTATACCTCAATATAAGTTTATGGAATAACAAAATGATCATATCAATTTTTTTCCTTGCACGTTTATGACAGAAAACACGGCTAGAGGAAAACATCAAAATGGAAGAGGGCAGAGACTATTAAAATTAATAACATGGGCAAAGATTTCAAAACTCTGAAGTTAGGGTAATGGTTCGTGTCAAAACAACAACCGCATTTCCTGGGGGGGGGGAATAAACAAATTTGGTGATTTTTCTTTTAAACTACCACAAGTTTGGGCTTCCCTCCATAAACTCAGTATTTTAATCATCATTGGCAGATTACATCAGCCTTTGATACTGCACCTGTCCATTCACAAATACTGCGTAAGTACATGTAAATGCAGTGAGATTGCTAGATACAGGTATACTTTGAATCCACAACCACAAACTTAAAAACTATTTCAAACTGCAAGGAAATGTGAATGATGTTGCAAAGTGAGTTTGACATTATGTGACTTTTGAAATGCGGATCACGTAAATTTTGTTTTTTCCAATTCGTCTAAAGAACTAAAATCTTTATGTAAACAAAATGAGATGGTACGACATATTCCACAAAAGGAATATTAAAAGTAAATTGAAGAATTTGAAGGGCCCCCCATCCTGTAGGAATAACTTTAACCCTAACACTCCTCAGTCCTCCAACAGGTGAAAGATTGAGGAGTGTTAGGGTTAATGAGCCCTCTCCCTCACCTTTTTGAAAACTAATTAGACACATGTACATGCACTGGTACAGTATCTTGGACAAATCAGTACAGCAAAAATTCCAACGAACTTTTCTAATTTTTTTTAAGGTAGATTTTGAGCATGTGAAACACGTGATACACATGTACATGTGACAGGAAACAATCATGGAAAGAGTTCCATACAGACGCCGCTCAACACCCTGTAAAACCCTATATTTTCTCTGCTACTTGTAGATTCAATTAGGTCATATTATTGCTTTCAAATGGCTAATAGAAAACTGTAGGGAAAATTAGTGGCGTCCAGATACGCAACTCTTTTCAATAACCACGAGAACACAGGTCAGAGCACTACATGTACCTGTACATCAGAATAATGTCGAAGTCATGAGTGGAAACCAGAGTAACTGGACAAAATGTGACCTGTCATGACAAAATGAACGTAAAGTCGCATCCTGCTCTTTCCTATTTCTAGGGTTTAAAGTCATATGAAGTGGAGGGAAATTTGTTTTTTTTAATATTTGGAAGGAGTAATCCATCTCCAATGTAATTCCAAATGTCATTTTCTCAACAATTATGATGATAGCATTATATGTGCCTAGTCAGAAATGTCAAAACAATGTTGGAAACAAAGACACAAAGCTGCCACGATAATGTCACATTGTCACTTTATACTTTTACCCTACAGTGAGTGTTCCATGTACATGTACAGGGAAAGCTCCCTTTCTGCTGAATTCAAAACACCAATAAACACCACAATTCTGACTCTTAGCTCATTTTGTGGTGACAGGTCACAAATACATGTAGTTATGGTGCACCAGAGACAGAAAATGTTTAACAACTTCCAAAGATTTCAACAATTTGTTGCATAAAGGCCGCACCTCTGCAAAGAGATCCAAATTCTTAATTTAGGGGTACCGGTACATGCGAAACTATTAGTTAGGGAAAAGTGTTCAGTGAAAAATGTTTAGGGAAAGACAAGAACTCAAGCAGGTGCCATTAACAATGACCATATCTACCGGTAGTCTCTTGCACATCTATACACAGATGGACTTATCCATGAGACAACATTTTCAAGATAAGTGCAATAATGTTCAGTATAATTTGTATGGAGGTCCTAAGTTGCCTTACAATTTAAAACTAAAAGAAAGTAACAAAACACGAAAATTACAACGGTGCGAAGTCAAGAACAGGAATCAAATTGTGCAGTCTCACCAATTCAGTTGACTGGTGTTCTGATGATGTCTGAACCTTACTCGTACTTCTCTGTGCTACCGTAGTGATACCCTTGTGCTTCCCTGCTAGACGAGACCTCCTCACATAGCCCGGAGGTACATGTAGTGGGAACCACCCAAGCTTGTTCCTCTTTGATGGAGAGTCCGGAGAGTGCTTGCCTGAAGTTGTCAATTTCTTGTCATTCCCATCGTTTCGGGGAACAGGCGGCACGACAGCGCACAGCTTACGATTCATGTTACGAAGTGGATGGTGCCAGTCATGGCGCTACATGTATGTCCCTTTCTTAAGTCAAACTCTAGTGACTGGAAACAGCAATATTTAACTGTAGATACGGTGTAATTATCCTTGGCTGATGACCGTGATGTAGCTTCATTAAGGACAGACCTCCCCGACGCATATTCCTGCTCCTTTCCTTTGTTGATCAACACCCCTTGGTCAAGTGTTTGCACTGATCACACCTAACATAACATTATAGTCAGTCTGGGTTATTAACTGCAATGCATGGGCTATATTACAGTTTTCATGTTTGGTTTGGGTGTTTAACATATGATACTCAATCCAGCCGGCCAGAAGACTTTTTTCAGACAAAGACAGAAATATCAGCACAGTACATAAACCTGGCATGTGACATGATCAAGTGAGGAACAGTTTGCCTGTGGCGCAAGGCTACAACGTTTGACCCCCTGGTGTGAAATATCACACACAGCCAAATGCAAGTGCAAGCAGTCGTCAAGTTGATGGTGTGTACATTGGTAACATTAGACATGCACATTATGCAGACAGTATAATATGCACACACTCCAGGGCCTGCCTGCAACTTAGGCAACAGTAATGTTCCCCCAACTGCCGCTGTAAGTGCAAAGACTGGTCACAGGTTATAGCCCTCGTACTGATGTCTCCATTTCTTGGCACAGGATATGCGCCATAGCAAACGCCCTTCTGGGAAACTGCATCGCATTATTCCATTATTCAGATGGTAAAACTCACCAGAAACTTCATCAGTCAAGTTTGACACATCAAAGATATGGTGAATATTGCACAATTGACATGTCTTCTCCGCTGACAAAAGCAATATGCCAGAGCGCCTCCCTGATAAATGACTTGTTAAAGAAAATTATTCCGCAATCACCGTGGGCCAAAAAACCACCTGCCTGCTCTGTAGAGGTGTCATTCGCCCCAAGCAAGAAGACATTTGACATACCTTTCTGGTACACCTTAGCTACATGTAGCGGTAAATGTATGAGCAGCGCATCAGCACATTCATCACCAGCAATGCTTTCAATGCTGATGTTTTTCACAACAGAGAGAAGGAGAGAGGAAAACAAAAACCTGACTATCTCCTCTAACCAGCTGTTCTCGTGCTGTAGCTCAATCCATCTATCACCGGTACCAGTGAACTACATTGCCACTTTTGGACGAGAGAATATCTCTAAGTTAAATCATCCGATCAGCGCAGAGCACTTGGCCCAGTGCATGACAACACTCATCAGCAGCCACCACCACCACAGTTGTGCGCAATCCCTTCTCTTGTGCTGTAGACTAGTGAATGGAACCACCTGTATGCACTGGCAGTCTGCCCCTCATCAAGTATGGTCATTCCCTATAATCAGGACTCCAACTGGTGGTATCAATTCAAACAGTGAAGCCCCCCAAGCACCAGCACCACAATGACCAAAAGGATTAACTGGGCTTTGCATGCCAACATGATGTGCATGTACATGTACTTGCTTTATTCTTGGCTGCAGCTGGTTTGCCAGCCACTGGTTGCACTGTTTGATTTTCGGGGATGAGTGACTCTGGATACTGAAGACCGAATGTCAAACATCTTCAGCAGAATGCTACAGTTGGATATTCATGGTGGGGTCTGGTAATTGCTTGGTTGGAGACCAGGCACTGTGGCTGGAATGTTAAGTTTCTGACTGGCCATTTTTCCCAAACATTGGCACTGCATCAAGCTTTGGCTGAAAAATGATTCTGGGGCCTGTTAATATGAGTGCATGTGAACTGTAATGATTTCCTATTATAAAAAACCTAAGACAGATTAACTACCAGTAGAGGGTGGTTACATGTATGTCACATACCGGTACATGTATAGATCTCCCACCAGTGAGATGCCCTTATGCCCTATTCTGGGCAAAATGATTTTTATTTGCATGCTGACATGATGTGCTTTTTTACTGTATTTGTCATCCACCGCTGTGATTATGTTTATCTCTTCTAATGATTTTTATTATCTTTTTTTTATTCTGCTCATTTATTCACTTAGTTTTCTACATTATTAAAGCTGCATACAATTACTAAAGTAAAACACACAATATGAAATGAATGTGCCTTTATTGCACTTGCGTTTTCTCAAGCACAACATTTAAAATGAAGTTGGAACTGCTTGTTAATTTAACCCTTTGACCCACTCTCTGCACACACGTACGGTAATTAAGAAAATAAAGTCACTGCCTTATGCAAATATTGTCTTCCATTAAGAACAAATATTGCACATGTATGTGCGTTAAACATTGAACATGTGCTGGACATGTACTTTACAAACAGACATGCACAATATGTACACATGACCATAAACAAATAACAAGATTGACACAAGAAGCACATCAAACCAAAGAGCCCTGTGTGAATTTTTGAATAGCTGGCTGTTAATATTTCAGAGAGACAGACAATGAGTGTGTCCAGATCAAGAGAAGAAGTCATTAAATAGACATGGACAGAACCGACCAGGCTGCTCAAGGATGGACAGACAACAAGGCATGCAGTAGTCAAGACAACACCAATGATAAGGACCAACGGGGAGAAGGAGGGGCCTTGGAGTGGAGAGGTACATGTACATCTGCAGCACTGCTTCTAGAGAGAGTGAGGCAGCTGGGGGGGAACGGGGTTTGGATAGGAATTGAGAGATTGGTTTATTTATGAATCATCCAATGTTCCAGTACGTACAGTTCCATCATAGTTCAATGTGTGCAATGCACTTCAATCATTAGGGTACAACTTACAACTTGTACTGTATGTACTAGTGTCATACACATGGGGGATGCAATATCTACATGTACATGTAAAGAACATGTATATGTACAGGTACATGCACATATACCTGCACATGAAAAGCATGTGTTTACATACATGTATGTACATGTACTTGTCAATACATGATTAAAAATGCACTTTAGTAGGCCTACATGTGCATGCACTGGTACATGACGTATACTGGTATGTACAGGTACAAATACCAGTACTTTCCATAACAGTGGTTGAATTCTTACAAATCTACAGGAACATTTTTGTAAGAAAGCACAGATTCCTTCCTCTGTGACAGAACCAAGCCCACAATGAAGCTATGTTGACTGAGTACTTTACATGTAAATACTTGTAAGTAGGAACATGAGTGTTTGGAGAGCTTAACAAGGGTATTTGTACATACGGTAGTACAGAGGAATTCAGACTCTGAAAACTCTTGGAGTATTTTTAGCATACACTTACACAGCAACATTGAGCCTTTCTTCCAAACACTCGTCCACTAATAATCAAGAACTAGAATACTTGAACAAAATATTGACAGTTCTGTTTGCTGACCAGTGTGTAATTTCTCGTGCACCATCTGTCATTTCGTTACTTATGATGGGCACAGATGACTCCACAACAGCTCTACTGTACTCTCAAAACGTACATGCTGAAAGGGAGTTACCAGTAGGACTATCAAGGCTGAGGCCACTGCAGGACCCTGAAGAATTTTTCATTTTCCAATCGCCAAGTTATTCAACAAAAAGATCACTTATTAGAGGCTTTATATGCGTACCTACTAATTAAATTAAACTGACCATTTTCTAACACAAACAAATACATGTATGTACACATTGGTGTGACAATGACAAGTGTTTAATTCAACATTCAACAACTTTACGAATAACTTGACGTTGAGTTTTCTCTCTTTTCTCTGAAGGGTTGTATACCCTATCTCAATTGGCAGCTACCAACAAGTTGTTGACATCTGCGCAGGAACATTTCTTGGCACAGGCCAAGAATAAAATCTCAGACAATTAGCTCCCCCTATGTTCCACAACAGGTACACCACAGATGCAGCACAAAGGGGAGAAAAACAGCCCAGAAGCCCAAAAGAGACTGGTGTGTACATGTGAAAGGTGCGGATAATATGCTTTATTTCCCTAGTACTTCAATGGGGCTCGACTGGTGCCCATCCACAATTAATAGATTGCGGGCACAAAAGCAGGAACACTGTTTGTCAGTTTTGGCTTCTAAGCTGGGGGACTTAGGTAAGGCTTCCCTCAAAGAGTCTTCTTTTGCCCCAGAGGCAGCCGGAGAGATGAGCTGTCTGGGTTGCAATTGTCAAAGAAGGAATGTCTACTAGAATGCGTAAACATTTTGTACAAGAGATGCCTAAATACAGAAGGAAAACCTTCAGTGTTCCCACAAAAGTGCAGGCCCAAAATAAATATTCCAAATTTGGACTAATGAGCATATATATTGCAGAAACTTCCTCCATTCTGAAGTTGCGATTCAGCTGAATTGACAGCATTGTTTTTAGCAGGTTTGGGAGCAGGGAAGTTTGAATAAGAAAGTGGTGACACTTGAAAATCATTCATTACTGCACCACTTACCATAGCTACAGTACATGTACTAGTATTTCAAGGTTATTTATGAGCCCTTACATGTACTACGTTATTTCTAACCGAAAGAGTCCTGAATCCTCCAATTTCAATGTAATTTTCCACAAAGCCTGTAGGGGTGGGTTTCTCCCTCTGGCTTTGAACATACTGTACCTGATGCTGCCCTTGCGCTCCAGTCTTATTCAGCCAGATCTCCAACTTCAAGCCTGAGACATTGGGCTCTTCAACCTGGATCAGTTGGGCGGTGGTGGGTGCTAGTACCATGCGCCGGCGCTCCTTTCCGTTCCGCGGTCGCTCCATGCCCGACTGGTAAAATCGTCCCATAGCACACCAGCGCAGTTTCTGGGGGAGTAGCTTGCGGAGTTTGGAATCGGACGGATCCAGAATTGAACTTGAATCCAAACTTTAATTTTGACCTTAGGAAAGTTTGTTTCCAAAGCTGGGTTTCTTGCAAAAAAGCTGTTCAGTGTAGGCAAACAAACCAAGCTGCTGGATCTCTTAAATCATTGGAGGAAGCACTCACAATTATATTTCCTCCGTAACCAAAGAGAAATTTCTAGAGGAGAGGGCACTTGAGATCTTCTCACAGACCAACCATCCAAGAAATTTTCACACCTCCACTGAAGGATAATTCTTGCAAATACCGATTCGAGTTTTCACTCGCCAGGCACGCACAGCAACCAGTACTCTTCCTCATTCAGTGAGCCACCAGTTCCTCTGCTTAGCAAAACTACAGATCTGTCAAAATTACTCCCACAGTGCATGTACTTGTGGGACTGTGCGACAAAAACTTCCAATGGAGATCTGCCACAAGCGATGACAAGGTCCTGGAAGAAGTTGAAAGGGTTCCTTAGAATTGATGAGCCGTAACCCACGAGGAGACCTCTGAAATTCCCTTTCCCCATCAAGCTTCTCCCTGCTACCTCCTCTCCAGTGTTTGTCTAAGCAGACTAATGATTTCCCATCGGCGACAAAAATGCCCCTGGTAACCAGGGCCTCCCGTTCCCGCCCAAAGCTGCCTCATTTGCCCATCTTTAGCTCTCATTGTGCTAGTTGTACAGAAACTATGGACAAAACAAATTTGCATGCAGCAGTCACACCCACAAACCAGCAGCATCCCGCTACCGAGGTAACCAGCTCCATAAGTTATTTACAAGGGTGCGCCAAGTCCCCATTACAGGATGCTCAACTTTACATACAATCATAAATTAATAAAAAAGGAGATTAAATGTACAGGTACTGGTAGGCCATGCCAAGCCTTTGTTAAGTACCAGTACAGTAGCAGTGTATAGTAAACATTATGTGCCGATCGAGACTGTACGTAATACAGTAGATAGAAAAGACTAGCATCATTAATAACTTAATATTGGGGATTTGTACTTTCCACACAGCTTCCTATTAAGTCTGCTACAATGAGCATAGATAGTCTGGTTTCAAAAATCTAAAATGTACATAGTACACATGCACCCCTGCATTACTATCCCAGTAGGTGCACTGTACATGTAGCTGTGTGCTCAAGAAATAAATTAATAAAAACGTCTGATTATTTGCATACATGAAGGACAGGCTGCCCTTAATGCAATGAAATAACGGTGACTGTGAGGTTCAAACCTTCCCCAAAGGTTAACCACATTAACTCTCCTGGATGCTTCAAAACCACTAGTAGGAGGGTTAACAGGATTATGCAGAATTGAGATACAATGCATTACTGCACCACTGCTACATCTACTGTACATTTATATTTGTACTATACATGTTCTGGTACATGTACATGTGCAGTATCTGTACATGAGTGTAATGTGGAACATGGATACATATCATCCATTGAAAAAAGTGTAAAAAATGTGCAAATAAGTACTTCCGGTAAAATGGCAGTGTTTTCCGAAGCTTCCAGCTGGTTCCTTGTGAAAATGGCTATAAACTAATATACATGTAGCTTACAACACAAGTACCCATAGATAAATTTCCACCAACATGTTGTTACATTCTTCTCAATAACTTTGCAGTTTAAAACCCACTGGGTGTTTAAATGCTAGCTCACTACAGATTAAAAGGGAACTCTAATCAATTATATCATGCATAAGTAATAGCTGTCATTAAACTTTCACCATTTGCCATGGCAGTCCAGACTCTGCAACTTAAATATTCATGGTTGCCTTGTTCCAATCACAAAAGCTCCTCCTGAAAAGCTAATCAAATATTCATGGCCTGCCCAGGAAGCAACAGGGGTCTCTAGCTGAGTGGGCAGCCAAGTAGGACCCGGTGCCTCATTTGCATGTTAAAGTTTTTGTCCAATCACTGAGCTTCTCCTTTTGCAAGGGGGAAGCATATTTATGACATCAATTTTTCTCAGCGTCAAAACAAACATGCACTGCAGAAAAGACATTAGTCTCTCATTGGAAAACTGTGTTGATTCACAAACATGTACAATATACTGTACATGTATGCAATGCTGTTTCGGTGTTTGTTGAAGGAATCTTGATACAGTTCAAATCATCCTTTGTCATATCATATACACATGTGCACAGTGTACAGCACATTTCAGATATAAAAGGTGTCTTGAATGTAACTGTGCAAAGGAAAAGGAACTGCATTAAATTGCTGTTTTTCCCCCTCCTCTGTGAGGTACAACTGAAAGATGTCTAGACATGTACCGATGCATGTACATGTATGTATACACAATAAATTCAATTACAGTACACCTGATGTGGGAACGGTGTGAATTCTACAGCCATTGCCATAGCAACGTTTGGCTGGCATTTTAAATGGCGTCAGACTCTCTGAGTCAAAGGGCAGACACTATGCTACTAGGCAACCCGGGAAGGGCAGAGGGCCACAGTCGCCCAAGGCGTTAAATGACTGTTTGAGAACTTGTCAGGGAGAGGTATCATGTTACTCCGAGAGCTAATATTGCCCGCAAGAAATAAAGAGGCCAGACAATAGCACAGAGC